AGACACTCCCACAGCATATGACAATATATCAATGTCTATGCATATTGATATATGCATAGACATTGATATATGTATATTTTGTGTGACGGTGGTACTGTTAAACTATAAAATAATCTATACAAAAGCAAAAATATTCAGAATCACATTCTGTGTGTGTACATATTAAAGAACATGCCACTAGATATTTAGGATTGAGGTATTCATTTTAGTTTGATATTGCAAAGCCCCATTTGCTGACAACGGTTGGTGTAGGTCCCCCACAGTGCGGAGTAGGATTAGGATTAATCATCAGAATCAGAACCAGAATACTTTCATAATCCCTAAGGAAATTATGTGGGTTACAGTTGCTCCAAAACAGTAACGGTAACAGACTAAACTAATTAAATAATACAATATATTACAAAGTTTACAAATGTAAGAAAAAGCAGTAATGTATACAAATTGCTTAATTATAAATCTCAAGAATATTACAGAGGAGAAATATATATATATATGCCATTTAACTCTAACCTGTGAAACATTTGTTATTTTACTGTTGGGCGAGTGCAAAAGGGTGTAACAATTGCAGTGGATTGGCATGTGGACCTCAGAGGGTTAAAACGAAACCAAATTAGAATAGATGTAACTCACTAGATGAGTGATTTTTTCAAAATAATTTCCATGCATGCTTGCACACCTGTAAACAGATCACATTGTTTGGTTAAAAGGAAACCACAGGTTTGGTTGCTTATGGAAACCGTTAGGTTTTTCTTTCTTTGTTTAGAAAACTGCTAAGCTGGGTTATGTTAGAGCAGTACCTGCAGCATCGCTCCTCATGTAAAGAAGAAGCTATAGCGATGGGGAAAGATTACCCATAAAAGAAGGACAACAGGTAAATAGGATCTATAGCTTAAATGTTTTGGCTAATGTCTTTTTGACTGATAAGAGCTAATCAGCAAGCAAACATGTTTCCAGAGTGTCAGCAGCATTTTGCGTCATATTTGTGGATGTACCCAGTGTACTCTCTGCTCCACTCAGTATGTGTCACAATAAAACAGATGCAGACACGTGGACTGTAGGAGAAAAGAGACAGGTAAAATGAATATAACTCGACTTGACAATCAATTGTGACATTGGTGTAAGTGTAATAAAAACTTACTGAAAGAGTGTTAGTGTGCGTTGATGCTTGGCTTATAAAGACAGGTTTCTTTTTTAGGTTTTTTTACAACTATCATCTTGCTGGCCAGTGCACACCAGGCACTGAGGTTTTAATGTCCACTGACTTTTTTTCTCTTGTGATCTGCTGCAATAGGACTCTCTCTGTTTGAGACCTGCATTATAGTTTAAGTACTTTCCTCAGCACTGTGGATGAGTGCTGTGTCGCTACATGTAACAATAAAACTTAAAGGGGAACAGTAGAGTGGGCTGAGAAAGAATTGGTAAAGCAGGGGAAGCTTGGCATAATTATGCATATATAATCATAAAGTGAGGTAAATGTGCAATGGGAGTGCAAACTTTTAGCTTTATTTCAAGGCGTTTAACAAAAGCTTTGCCTAAATGGTTAGGAGTTACACCCATTTTCATGTTTAGTCCTCAAAGACTCAAAAGTAACTGGACAACTGACTGACAAGCATTTTCCTGGCTGGCCAAAGCTTGTTACCTCATTATTCCAGAATAAATTGAGTAGATAAAAGATCTGGAGGAGATTCCAAGTGGTGAACTTACCTTTAGTAGCTGTTCCTGGAGCTCTCAATGCTATCAATGCCAAGTCCAGAGGGATGTCAAAACAACTAGTGCATGATACTAGAATTGTTTCTCTGGTTAAGAAAAACAACTTCACTGCATCTAGCCAAGTGAAGAACACACTCTAGGAAATGGTAAGAAGAGAAAAGTATGGGGAAAAAGAAACAGCTCATACTTATCTGCCAATCATGCCGGAGTCAGTTTTATGGCATGGACATGTATGGCTTCCTGTGGAAGTGGGCCACTGGTGTTTATCGATGCTGTGATTGCTGATAGAAGCATCAGGATGAATTGTGAAGTGTACAGAGCTGTACTCTCTGCTCAGATTCAGCCAAATGCTCCAAATCAAATCAGACAGCACTTCACAGTGAAAATTGATAATGACCCAAAGCATACTGCAAAAGTAACCCAAGGGTTTCTTAAGGCAAGAAATGGGAAAGTTTTTTAATAGGCCAGCCAGTCACCTGATCTCAACCCAACAGAGCATGTTTTCAGTTATTGAAAACAAAAATGACGTCATAGTGACTCACAAACAGCCGCAACTGACGGCAGCTCCATAAAGGTCTGGCAGACTCCAGACAGTCATTGACTGGAAAAGACTTTTTTCAAGTATCCAAGTATCAAAAAACATCCTTAGATTTTAAATTATGTTAGTTTGTCAAATTAGTTTTGAGTCTCTGGAAATCAAATCTTGATAGATTGGAAATCCACCGTGGTTGTGTACCAGTGTTGTGTCCGCACGCAACAGACAACTTAGAGAAGAGCAAAATTCATTTTGTATAATAAATTACATTTTGTATCTTTGTTACTAGCAGCCTTTTGGAAGAATGCATCATTTGTCCCAATTTCTTTACTTGAATCTATGAAAAGTCTCAAAGATAACCCAGCTTGACAGTAACAAAACAATGTTTTTGCACCAACAAGGTGATTCCCAAAGAGCTATTAGCCAAAAACTGTGGCATATCTCAGCATGTGTGAAGTGTGTGCTTAAAAGATTTGAGGAAACTGGACAAGTGGAGGATGAAAGAAGTGTCAGGAAAAAAAAACCTACATCCAGCAGATGAGCAGTATCTGAAAGTCATGTCTTTCACAAATACGAAAAATCCTGCAAAGGACCCTTCAGCTGATCCACCTACTGTTTGCTGAAGCCTCATCAGAAATGGTCTCAAGGGAAAGGCGTCTGTCCAGATGCCAGTCTTCAATAAGAGGGGCAGGGATAAAAGGCTGAGGCATGCCAAATTACACAAGAACTGGACTGAAAATCAGTGACAAGAGGCCATGGATTGGCCTCCCCAGAGCCTGGACCTCAACATTAATGAAGCAGTGTAGGATCATCCTGACAGAGAACAGAACAAAGGTCAGCCAACACCCAAAGAAGAGCTTTGAATGTCCTTCAAGAAGCCTGGAGAACTATTCCTGGAGACTATTTCAAGAAATTACAAGAGAGATTGCCTAAGAGAGTTCAGGCGGTGTTGAAGAATAAAGGTGGTCATACCAGTACTGACTTTCAAGTTTGTTAAATTGTATAAACGCTACTTTTGTCTTATGTACTGTATTTCCATGTACCTGTTTCACATGTTTCTCATAAAATGAAAACAAATGACTCAAGACTTTTTCACACTCCTGTAACTGTGTCTCATTTTGATGGACAGAGATTGCCTGGTGATGCACTTTGTTTATGTCACAGTGAGCAAAATCTGCAAATTGATTTAAACAAAAAAATCTTGGGTATTTGCCTTGCTCTTTAACAGTGATGTGATGCATAATTGGCTAACCAGTGTGACGCAGTGATCAACCTTTCTTCTTTAAGCTCTCTCTCTTTATTAACCTTTTGTTTCAAACAAAATGTGACACTATTATAAGACGCCTTAGGGGACAAGAAGAGAAAATAAACAGCACAGGTTCAAAGGAGCAGAAAAAGCAGAGAATGAAAAGTAGAAGGTGAAAGCAGAGGGAAGAAGGGTGACCAAGCCATCCGTCTGTGACTCTTTGGTTCCGTAGTGAATGCTGTCATTTCCCCTCAAGCCCCTTTAGTCACTCATCTGTGGCCGACCTTGCGCTGCCATGTGGCCTGCTTCTTTTCTTCCACATCACACACACTGATTTGTTAGAAGCAGAATTGAACGAGTTGACGCCGCCTGGCTCTGTAAGACAGCTTGAGTGCTGAGCCAACATCCCTCGTGAATTCAGATTCCTATTTCTGCATCTGTAATCCTCCACTGACGATTTAAATTAGTCAGACATCAGGAAAACTATTCAAGGTTAGCTGCCTCAAAGCACAGCAGAATGCAAAAGCTGGACAGTCGACCTGTAGATAAATGTGAAACATGCCGGTGATATTTACAAATACCGAGCTACACATGTGTAATTTCTTTAATATTCCAGTAACAGTGCATCATATCAAAAATGTGTCACATTGACATCTCGGAGCCTCCCTGTGAGGTGAACTGCTCAGAGTTTGTTTGCTGGGTGGAAGTTGTGCTGGGAGGCTGTCAGAGCTCATCTTGGCTGGGGTGACATGTGCTCAGGCACCCTTGCACTATCACGAACTACATCTCCTCTTTCCTGATGCTTATCAGGTCCCCCAGGCGTTTTATAAAGAAGAAGCCTAGCTTTGTTTACCATTTGTTCTTCCTCATTGCACAGTCTCCCCAATCTTTAAATCATTTAGGGTCTAAAGGGCGATGCCCAGAGCTTTAAATGTCCTAGTCTGATAGGCATATGAATGCAATGGTTAGAAATAGTTAATAAACAGTCGTGTTTGACAAAGATCTGCCAAAAAGCTATGAGAGAATGTTTTTCAAACAACAAGACATGCTTTGTTGCATTAACAAATAAAAACCCATTGTGATATACTTGCTTTCCCCCCTCATTTCTTCAATTATAACCGGAAGAAATTTGTTCCACCGCGTCATTGCTCAGAAGATGAACCCAAGGGTGAAACAGCATCACGGTGAATTAATAAGCCAGTGAAACTGAGGCTGAGATGCTCACTCAGGCTGAAGAAGAAATACGAGGTTTGAGTTAGACTGAAACTGAAATGTGTTTTGGAATTGGCACCTGCCCCAGTTTTAATACTCTTGAGTCACTACCATCCAAATAAGAGCATTAAGTCTTTGGTAATTGATCCATAAAACAGCTTCTGTTTAAACCTAAAATTAGATTAAGGATTCTATTGAATGAAAATAAAACCTTGAGGCTTTTCTATAATTATTACTGTATTTAAGACCCCAAAGACACTGTGGCCATAGAAAATACATTTATTTCATTATCACCATGGTGCTGACATACTCGTAATTGTTCTGTGCAAATAGGCAGTGAGTCATTCTCGTACACGTGATATACACATGCTGGGACTTGGCTTTAAAAGTAGGTCCCTCACCCAAAGAGTATCGGACCTTAAGTGTTCGTGAAAGATTTTGAGAATTTAAGAAAATAATTTTCACAGCTGGCCACTATATACAATCTGAATGTTCCCAGTAATTTGTTCTTTCTGCACTTTTTCCTCCCAGTTTGTTAATCTGTCTTGAAACTCACTATTGAACACAAAATACTTATAATTATACAATCGATGTTTGTTCTCAACAGGAGTGCAAAGTGTCCAGCAAGCTGGAAGGAATATGATGGCAGCAGTGTCCTCACCAAACACAAATGCATCTTTACAACATGAAAAAGAAACAGATCCTGAAAAGGCACTCTGTGAATCACAGGACACACCCACGTTCCCGGTAAAAGTTCATACATCTATCTCCGCCACATTATTGTTTGTTATAGCTGGTGAAGGCTTGCTCTTCAGTCCCTCTGTGGCACATCTTGAAGTTTCCGTGAGGAGCAAACGAGGAACGCAAAGAGCGAGGAGAATGGTCTTGTACTCTTTGCGGAAATTTTGGTTGAGCAGTCCATATATGATGGCATTGAGGCAGCTGTTGAAGTAGGCCATAAAGTAGCTTGTGACAAAAAGCCACTCGGGTATGTTGGGTGCAACCTTCGGAGGATTTATGGCTACAGCCAGGCCTATGAGGTTCAGGGGGGCCCAGCACACGGCAAACAAGACAAACACCATAAACATAGTCAGGAAGTTCCTCACATCACTAGGTTTCAGTTTGGTCCTTTGCTCCGGTTTAACTCGGTGTTTCACCTGAATGACGAGCACCCATATCCTCATGTAGCAGTAGGACACCACCAGCAGAGGGATCAGAAAATGAATAATCACCACGGAGATAGTATAGTATGAGCTAACGGTCTGAGCAAAGGTGCAGGAGTAGATGCGAGGGTCGTACTGCAGTGAGCCGACGAAGAAGTTGGGAATAGTGGCAATGGCGGTGAGTAGCCAAGTAAGACCCAGGTAGCAGAGCGTGTTCCTCAGGCTATACAGACGATCGTAGTGGAGACTGTGGCAGATGTAGCAGTAGCGATTGATGGCGATAGCCGTGATGTTGAAAATGGAGCCGATAACACTGAGGCCCATGATGAAGCCGCTGACCTGGCAGTGCAGGTCACCCATAGTCCAGTCATTGTGAAAGATGGCTGTCAGGACCAGTGGATAGGGGTACAGCGCCACCACCAGGTCTGCCACAGACAAACTCACCACAAAGATGTTGCCTAAAGAAAAAGAAAAAAAAGGAGGTTATGAAAACTGACAAAATGTGACCAAAAGAGAAGGTAAAATATGCAGGATCATGTTTGTAACTTTGCTTATTGGGACAGTGGAGGCTTGACTGTGACTTTCCCTTGATTAATAATGTGTTTCATCAGTAAACAGGGTTTTTCTCCTTAATCTAACCATGTAGTTTTAGCATTTTAGCCAAACAAAGAGTGATAGAAAAGGTCAAATTCACAACCAAAGTCAAATAAAAGTGCATAAAAGCAGCGATACATGCATCTGGTTTTTGCACATTCCCCATGTTAGGAAACCTAGCTAGAGAGGTATCCAGGTGCACTGGGAGTTAATGCTTAAGGGGTATAACCCTTCATGCATGAAAACATGATCCTGATGTTAGTATTTCATGAGCTGGGAGCAAGAATCTCTACATCCTTTTCATACTACATTATTTTTTATTGCCCCAATCTGGATCCAGGCCCATACTGAATTCTCTGTGTATGCTAATGCTGCTAGGTGTAGACGAGCGGTCTAAATGGGTCCAGCTGGAAAAATATTTTAACTACTAGGAAGCTGATTGCTGTGAAATTTGTCACACTGCAATATTTCCTAATTGGCACTTATTGGTCATTATATTAGGCACACCTGTTCATATGCTCATAAATATAAATATATGGTCAATGGCAGCAACTACATCTACACATTTAGACATGGTCAAGAAAGCTGCTGACGTTCAAGCATCAGAATGGAAAAGAAAGGCAATTTTAATGATTTTGATGGTGTTGGTGTAGTGGTGTGGGGAATTATTTCTTGACACACTTAGTGCCCTTTAGTGCCAACTGAAAATCATCAAAATACCACAGCCTACCTGATTATCGTTGCTAGCCATGTCTTTCTCGTTATGAGCACAGTGTGCCATCTTCCAAAGGCTGCTCCCAGCCACAACGTTCCATGTCACAAAGCTCAAGTCATCTCAACTGGTCACTAGAGCTCAATCCAGCAAAGCACCTTTGTGGAACAGGGGATTTCTATCCTGAATCTGTGGCGCTATCATGTCAATATGAACTAAAATCTCTAAAACTAAAATGTTCCAGAACCTTGTTGAATCTATGCCACAAAGCATTAAAACAATTCTTAAGACAAAATAGGGTCCAAAGCTGTACTAGCAAGACATTCCCTAGTATATATAGTTTTTATTTTAACAAATATTCGGTGAATTCTCTGGATACTCATGTCCCTTGCAAAGACAAATTATAACTGACTTTTCATGGAGCCCCATCATCAGCTCAACCTATTTTGTCCTGTACTTTGATTAAGCCCAGATTTAGTCAATTTAGCTAGTGTGAGCAAAAGGTTATCTCCCTATGGGCAGGTCCATCCCAATAATATGCTCTTCGCAGTATAATAATGCTTCCTCGCTCCTGGGAAAATGCAGTCACATACTTAGAACGCAGTTAAAGTACATATCAACAAGGACGCGGGTGGTTTCGGGGTCCGATTACATCCAAACAAGCCCCCATCCTCCCGAGGTCAGAGCTGATTCTGGTGTGACACTGGATCTCCTCAGATGACATGAGTTATAGAAAATGACATGTGATGTTGTTACAGTGCAGCTGTTCTGGGTGGGGAAGAATAAAACAATAAATCAAATTGTAAAGTCAGATAAGAAGACAGATAAGAACAAGATACGCTGGCGCCATAACGCAATTGTGTTGGTTTTGCAAAATAGGGATTAACCTTGTGTGAGGTTAGAGTAAATGTGCAATATGTTAAGGACAACATAAAGCTGTTGTTTTGCAGCCAATAGATCGAGTTGGTCCATCTTTTTTAGAGATTAAGCGCTTTAGTGTATGTTAAAATGCTGAGTGACAACTTATGAAGCCAGAATGTAAAAGGAGCAAAGCTCTTGCTTGCTCAGGCAACAGCTGAAACAACAGCGCTGGAAGTGGATTTGAAACATATGTGGCCATCAATCCGCATTCAGGTCCTGTTGTAATCTCTGCACGCCAACATGGCTGCGTTATGTTGTTTAGCAACCGGTCTAATTTCATTTCACTCCTGGAACTTTATTCAAACGGTGTGCTAACGAAGCAGACAAAACAAACAGGGGCACAGAATATTTAAAGTTTCATGAAGAAGAAAATCAGATGGTTGATTTCACCATTTCCCGCCGATCTGGAGTTTTTACAGACAAGTCAATTTTCCAAGTCACTAAAACGGCACCAGCCGTCGCTCAAGCCTGCTGGGACAAAAATAAAACGCATTTGTTCTTCATCCTTGAGTCAGCTCAGTGGGCAAATCTGTCAGATTGCATTTGTGATGCTCCCAGTGCTCGCTCTGTGCTCTTGTCATTGTGCAGAGGTTTGATTCCTCGTTGACATGGCTCCTCCGTGTGTGTGTGTGTGTGTGTGTGTGTGTGCGCCGGCTGGACGGGGCACGGTCCGGCCAGCTCACTCTGGCTGAACCCTCTTACTCGCTCATCATCAGGAGGATGAGGTAAGTGCTAAAACACCGCTGAGAGGATCGCTGTGGAGCGGCCAGATGACTGTCTCTGTTTTGTTGGCATCAATTATTCAAACCCTGGACGAACCATTACCTCTCTACCTCGGTTTAATTAACCGACTTGGCCGGCGATGATGCTCATGACACCCAAACTCACAGCACTCAAGACCGCTCTGTCAAACAGAGGTGTTCACACACGGATACGAGAACGGAGTCGACGTCTTTGGGAGCTATAATTACCAAGTGTTGAATAGACCTTAACCTGAATGCTGATTGGTTACAGGCCATTAGGGACAGCTGACACGCAGCCTTCGACTTGTCCTACACCGCTCTGCAGTGATCTGATTTTGCACTATGCGCGCACAAAAAACTTGTGAAACAAGCGAAATGTTGCATCAGATTAACTGAGACTTCTGTCCCGAGAAAGCCGCGCAACCGCCCAGTGAATTTCCCCAGTGTGAGACTCTGTCATATTTTTCTGGTGAATGAAACATAAATTGAAACAGCGCATCACAGGGCACAGTGTCAGAGAGAAACTGGATATTTGTCATCGCTTCGTTCCAACCTGGCGGTTCAGAGTAGTAAAACAACGTGGGAAATAAAACAATATATATATATATATATTTTTAAAAAAAAGAGAGTGTGTGTATGTGTCTGGGGGGGGGGGGGGGGTGAAGCTGGAGCAATACAGAGTTACATTATGAAGATGCGGGCAAACGCAAGCAAACAAACCGCAAGACAAAACAAAAAAGGGCTGCCGGTCGATTTGGTTTTCAATCTCACTGCTACGCATGTGAATCTCTGGGGTGCGTGTTCCTATTTCAAATCCACCATCTGTACCCCATCACTCTCACTGCTCATACTGGAAACTTGATTTACTAAGCTTTAATTCACCCGACTATATTTATACACCTTCTGAGGAATTCACCAAGACATGCAGAAGGGTTTGGCAGTGCCTGAATCCATCTGAACGTCAGCAACGCAAGGCTTATTACTGCCAGAGCATACCCCGAATATAATTGCATTCAACTTAGTAAGTCGTAATCATAAATAAGCAAGAATACCCTTTTGGCAAGGACACGGGCGCTGATGAATTAGTAGTGGCGACTTCGTGACCTCGTTTTCGTGAGGCTTTTCTGGCCAGAGAGGCCCCAGAATGAAACTTAACATTAAACTGACATGAGCTGCCTTTTGGTGATACAGCCCGCTATGAGCCTGGTCAAAACCATCATCATCATCATCATCATCATCATCATCGCCAGAGCCCATCTACCAATCACAGGCCGTATGTCTGAGATAGGAAAAAACGCAGCAGCCTGGAGTTGAAAAGGGCATAAAAGTGGATCACTGGTACACAAACATCGTCCAGTGCAACAGGATTTCAAGGTAGGGTGAAAAGTGGTCATTTTAAAGAAGCCTCTTCCTGTCCGAGATGGATGAGCTGCAAATATGAGATTACATTTCCAGGTGTGGCTTAGCAAGATGATTAAAATAATCTAACAATGCCCCACGACCATGCTGGAAAACTTAATATCATCTGCTCGGGGGGCATGTTTAATGGAGCGTGCTAAGTGATATTCTCCGTGGATCTGTGCTGTCAATTTGAATTGGGTTCTGGTTTGAGTCACTCAAGTCCACTGACTCAATTAAACCCACCCACCCCTACTCCTGTGGACGCTGAAGTGTCTAGGTTTTATTCATGACTGTGGAGCAGCTGAGGAGGGTGCAATGCAACTCAAGTCCATCTTCAACTCTCACTACACCCCCCCCCCCCCCCCCCCCCCACACACACACACACACGACCTGGAGTTCGCACGGCACGGCAGGGCGCAAACTACACGCGCATGCGCAGCGTGGGATCTCTTCCTCCATCTACTTCCCTCTCATCCTTTTCTTTTTCCAACCCTCTTTCTCTCTCGCTCTCGCTCTCTCTCTTTCTGTCTGTGCCGCACTACTCTTTCTCTCTCCCGAAAGCATTTTGTGAGTGTATTTTTAGTATGGTTAACCCCCGGTGGAGAAGCGTAGTGTTAACACCCCATTGGCAGTCCTATAAGTGCCATGCTGTACACTTTGAGGATCTGGTGGATACGCCCTGTTACATTTGCGCACTTTGAAAGACCCCCTGGAAACCTGATACAAATGAAACATAAGGTACCAGATCTCGCCCCCAAGATGTTTCAGCACTTAGAATGTGAACCTCGTGCTTCCATGTACATGACTGTTTGTTTTTTGTTTTTGGGTGTGTGTTGAGGGGTTAAATGGTGGAGAGTGTGTGTGTGTGTGTGTGGGTGGGGGGGGGGTATATCGAGGAAGCGTGCAAAGCGAGTGTGTTGAAATGAAACAGAGCGGAAAGGTCCTGCTGCTGCTGCTGTGTGAGGAAGCGAACCAGCTGTCTGAATAATGTGTAATGGAGAGATAGGATGTTTTCAGCACCCCGCCTGACACATCTATATCTGAGTGCGTGCTTTTATATATGTATGTAAACCTTAAACTTAGACTCCTTGCGAGGCCTAAAGAGTGACGCTGCATGAAATCGTATATGCAGGCCCTGCGCAAACAAGCAAACAAGAAGGGGCCCGTGTATAAAGCTACAGCTGTTCTTTAGCTGTATCCATGCTTCCCTTTTGGAAACTGTACAATTAAACATTCATACAAAGCGAGCCAAACCTATAAATAGCTTGTTAAGAACAGAGAGGAGATTGTTGATAGGCTAACGGCAGCAACAATTTCAGTCACTTAAGGACACACGTGGAAAAAAAAAAAGCAAAGCGATAGCAGGATGGGCTCTGAGCTTCCACTGGAGTTTCAGGTTTCTATTCATACATGCGAACAAACCGAGCAGCACAACTGTGGGGAGGACTCGCGTGTGACTAGATATGTCAGCAAGCCCAATTAGAGCAGGGGAACACCGGCGCGAGGTCTGTAATCAGTGCAGTGCGCATGGTCCACCAGCCCAAGGTGGACTCTTGAACAGGCCATTTAGTCCTGGCCTGTTGTTTGAGATCAGTGGACTGTGCCATTATTTATTTATTTGTCTTTGCCAAGCAGATAATCAAATTATTCTCTGGGATCCTCAACTTCTTGCCAAAATGGCTTTGGGCTGCTGTAAAACGGGTATGTTATGTAATGTATTTGAAATTGTAATTAAAGCCTTGTTATCCCCAACACTGACCTAATCCCGCTGCCTCATTAGCATGCTCCATTAGCATTTTGTTGTGATCGCAAGGTTTACTGTGTTTTTTCGCTCGGGCTCAGAGGGCGTCCTTCGCTTTACTTTGAGCCGCGGAGCTGCTGGGTATAATTGCCTGGGTGCACGCTGCTTTCTCCTCCAGACCTTTAAGTTCAAAAACAGCAGAGTATCAGATGCACCGCGTGCGTTGCTCTCTGATATGTAGTCAGCCTCTGCAGGACATCTCGATGTTCTATTCTGCACTTTTTTTTAATTTTTAGTAGGGAAAAAAAATCACGAGATCCGGTCAATCAAAGCAAAATAGGCTCCTTTGTCCACGCATCTGTTGCACAGCTGCCTCTCATGCCATAAACTCTGTAGGGTTTCAGGATCTTTACTGCTCAGTCTGTCCTGTGGCTGAGGAGGTGGGTCGATTACTGCTCATGTGTTTCTATGCCACACAATATTGGCTACTATACAGCTTTTACAAGTTTATTTACAGAGAGACACGACAAACTAGTAATGACTGCCAACATTTACTAACAAGAGACTATTATTTGTCATCCAAGAAAAAAGTGGGAGCAAATCATGAGAATATCTCTGCATATCATCTTTTCCTTTCCAAGAAGAAGGATGTACTAGTTTTTTTGAAAAGTTTCTTATTCTGGCTGATTAATGACGGGGGAACTAAACCCTGCTCCTCCAGTGCTTAGATGAAAAGGCACCTTGAAGAATATTGGTGCGCAAAACATAAAATGCAACTCATTTATGAAAACAGATAGTAGGAGACAAACAGCACCAGTCACTGGAAATGACAGTGGCTTCTCAGTGGCCATTAGAAACTGCAGGCTACAAGATAAAAGGGACAGCTGAAAGATAATGCTACTATTGCCAATGAGGAGAAGGGACACAAAGGTAGCCATGATAAATGTTAGCTTTACCTTCTCTCTGCTGTCTGAACATTTCAAATGTAGCCCACAAAGGATGAGGAGGAGGGTTGTGTGTGGCATGAACTGTGTGCAAAGCAACAAAGAAACCATACAACGGCGTCTCTCACCTTGGCTGCTCATCGACACCTGATATAAGGAGGGATGTGATTTATCAGGGATGGAGAAACCAGCAAGGTTACAGCCAAATGGAGGGGAGAGTGTGTGCCATTATTTATGAAGAGATATGAAGGCAGGCAGGCAGGCATGCAAGGCTGTGGAAACTCTGTCACAGTGAGGCTGGAGGTCCACTTCAGATAGCAGTTTCATTTCATTCATTTCATTTATTTATTCATTTTCAGGCACAACAAATACCTATATTGAACATAAAATACACAAAACAAAAAACATGATTGATTGTCATACAAGAGGGAGGGGGTGTCACAGGCCACACAGTGCATTACATAATTTTAGTTATGAGTGAAGGCAGGAAAGAAAGCTCACTGAGAGAGAAGTTGTTTTGCCTTGCTTGATAAATTCAGCTGGTAAAGAATTCACACGGGTTCTTTTATTTTGAATAGTTAGCATCAATATAAGGAATAACTTCCTGCAATCCTCTGTGCGTCTCACCTGGGTTCCGTAGTTTTTTGTTCCTGTACACGGACAGGATGACGAGGACGTTTCCCAGGATGTCTACCACGATGGTGAAGATCAGCACGCTGGCCAGCGCAGTGGACACTCCAGCCGAGGTAGCGCTCAGCCCGCAGTCGCTCTCATTCCGCAAACAGCTCGAACCGTTCACATCCTTCTCCTCTACATCCATCTCCTCCACCACCTCCTCAGGATGCAGCTGCCATGGTGGGCTTACAAGTGTTCAGATGAAAATTTGAAATTAAGAAGAAGAAGAAGAAGCACAAACCAAAAAGGCAAAATGACTTCACGGGAGGGAGTCTTGAACTTATTTGCGCATGAAACCACACTCCTCTGACTGTGGAATACTAGGAGGCTCAGAGGACGCGAGTCCTGACATGATCTTTAGAATAGTCACACGCTTTGCCCATCCTAGGGGAAGTATGAGGTGAGAAAGGTTGGGAAAGCTCGAGTTTCACGGCGGCTCTGAGTGCGGTCAGTCACACAGGCTCCTGCTGCGCGCCGCTCCAATCTGACAGGGTAGCTCTTCCAGGAGGCATGTGAGCGCTGTCCTGTGCGTAATGGAAATCCGAGGATGCAAAAGCGTGCGCGCACAGAGCAACACGGAGTCTGATGGCTCTGAGAGCACTGTGAGCAACACAACCTGCGTTCAACTTAAATACTGAAGCTCACCACTTAAAAAAAATAAAAATAAAAAAGCTGCCAGAATAAAGACTGGGGTCTGTTTCAAAATCTATAAATATACTCTGCCTCCTTAACCGCTGTGGTGTGCCATTCTTGCTGAATAACAACTCGTGTGATCCAAATGGAGACGCGGGCTGTGGAGAATCGTGGCCAGGGAAGTGCTGCTTATTTTCTAATCTGAAAACACGAGGAACTGTGACTAGCATATTCATCGTGGAGCCAATGTGACACATGATTTGTAAGAGCCTTTATTTTGAGAGCATCCAGAGGATCGAGAGAACATCCATGTGCATGGAAATGGCGCCTTCATGTGTCCAGAAGACATTCTTACAGTCAGATGCATACAGAGAAACAGAAGCTAATGATTTCATTATATATATATATATATATATATATATATATATATATATATATATATATATATATATATATATATATATGTATGTATGTATATGCATGCAGCCCTTAGTTGCCCAAATCGATTTGTGACATCCATTTGTGCATTGACGTAGCCTACCTATGTTATAGTCTAAGAGCTCTATAGAATGTTCTGAAGAGTATCATAAAAGTGGAATGAATATATATAATGTATACAAAGTCTCACATTTGGTCACATTTCCCCTGCAGTGCACTTGAATTTGTGTCCCTTTAGATGTGGAGAGAACGGGTGCAGTTTGCGATCAGTGTGTCTGTACGCATGAGGTGATCACAGGATGCCAGAGGGTGCAGAGTGGAGGTTTGAGCAGCTGAGGCTGAGCTCTGTCCTGACCATACGCTGACCACACAATGGCAACTCTTCTTGTTTTTTCCAGCTAAGGAAATATACATGATGTCATGTTTTTCATATTTGCATTGTATTATTTTGCTTTTAAACCTGTGTTATTGTTTACGCTGATGCATTTTACTGCCTAACTAAGCACTGGAAGCCCCCTTACAAATTCTGTCACCGCTATTGGTCCTCTACAAAACCAGTAGCAGAGGCATTTAGTTCATGCACACACAGAGACCTGCAGCACCAAATGTTTTTATCACAGAACAGTCTGTCCCACCTCAAGATTATAATTAAACTAATCAGTAGCTTTTGGCTGTGGAGCTCCCCTCACTCTCCTCAGCTCATTCTTATTCAAGGTGTGTCGCTTCCTTCTCAAAACCATATCGAAAAAAAGACCTCAGATATGTCATTGCTACGTGACTGGCCTGGGGAAAACCGTATAGCTCATATAAAATGCTGTGTGACTCGCCGCACATGTCCCCAATCTGCTGCCAGATGCGAATCAGAGTTCAAAGTGATGGATTTATGAGCAATGCCCAAAACAGCACAAAAGTTCACTCAGCAGCTACAAACCTACTGAACAGTAAAAGGACAACAAACAAACAAAAAAACTTTATAAGCCAAGTTCCTCAACCAAAAAAAACTTCTCACCTCTGCTAAACCACTATGAGATGCTCCGTATTTACAGTGTACTGCTACACAAAGCTAAAGTCTCGACTACCAATCAAATCCACATTTTGCATAGTTTCCCTGCTCGTGACAGAAAATCTCTCATGACAGTGAACTCAACTAACTGCTGGCTTAATGGTGGGAGTGGCAGGGATGAGGAGAGGGGCTGCGGTGGAAGTCAGCTTGAGTTAAAAAGGCTGCTGTCCTACATTTCTTCAATCCACAGGCAGCTAGCTCTTCAAAATGGAACAATCACAGCGCCCCACCTGCTTCAGCATCAGACACACAAACACCCACACACTCTCAGCGAGAAGGCGAGAGAGATCTACGCAGATATAAAATCACAGCATCTCCACACCTGAGGAATGTCAGTCAGTAAGGGTTGAACAGATTGTCAGTCTTTTTTAAACCCTTTCCTATAAGTGAAATTCCTGAAGCGACAAGCAGATGAGGTGTTCAGCATCTGAGTCAGTAACACAAAAGGAGTTTCCACTTGGGGTGGATGGGGACAAGATTGGACCCAAGGTGCACTTGGAAACATTGCAATCTCAGTAAGGCCGAGGCCTCTTTCTCAGTCCAACTGGAGCGTATATCCAATATCCACTACTGAACCATCAACCTTCTGTGCAATGCCTGTACTGGCTAGTTTTGCACTGAACTGAATGTGTCAGCTTGATGCAGCGGCAGACTGAAAGTACTTCTGAACTGACAGTTTGCATCAGCGTGAATGTTGCGGGTATGAATGGTGATGCTTTTAAGCCAACTGTGAAGCATTTACTTAAAAGAAACAGACCAAAAATGCAGACTCAGTGGAGGGATTTATACTACCCACTTTTATGACAACATTTTAATAATGCTTTATATCCATAGATGTGAATAAATCTAGGATTCATAGCTGAAAGTATTTCAAATTCCTAAACATAGAGGCTTTGTGTCTCACTTGCACTGACGTGAGATGCTGCTGAAATTAACAATGATGTCTCAGTATGGAGACTCTGAGTTATAAGCCTGAACTATATCTGTGTGACTGCAGAAAAAATTGCCCTAAAAGTGAAAGAAAGAAAAACATGTTCTCCAGTGGTCACTTAAATATTTGCTGCACTTAGAGACAGTGCACAAGAGAGGTGAAGAAGAGAGTGTAGGCAGGGTGGAGTAGGTGGAAACAAGTGTCAGGGGTGATCTGGAACAGCAAGAGCGATAGGGAAGGTTTACAAGACTTTACTGAGACCTGCTGTGATGAAAAAGAGGAGCTGGAGGTGGCAGAGTTGATGATGTTAAGGTTTTTATTGGAAGGGGTTATTAGTGCTGTGCCATACTGCAAATTATGATATCAATCAGATAGCAAGTAAATACAGGGCCAGTATTGCTCATAACACTACAGATTCTTTTGACTTATAAAGGCAGCTCATGTAGGGGACAGCATGTGTCATGACTTAAGAGATGAATAATCATTTTTTATTTGCAAATTAATGACGATTCATCAATTCTGAACACATTTTAATGACCACTAAATAACTGTAATGTTACTTTCCACAATAATTAGCTAACACAACAAAACACACTGCTTTTTGTGTATTTTTAAACTATCTTTTTTTTGGACTTTTTTTTGAGACCTGGAAATGTACCTGTCTCTAAAGGACTTTGGATACCAAACCTAGAGGATAGAAAGAAACTATCAAGTCTATCATGCCAGTACCAGCTTTGGTATTGATACTATCAATCCGCCCTCCTCTAATGGACAAGATTAGAAATGAGTACATCATAGGGACAGGTCAGGTCTAGGGCAGTTGGAGGCAAAGTTTGAGAGACATAATATTGACATTAAATATGGAGCTTCCAGCCAGGAGGACATGAAGGCCAAAGAGAAGACTCCTGTATGTAGAGAAGGAAGACATCCGGAGTGTTGATGAGTCAGAGGAGGATGCTGGAAATAGGATGAGATTAAGGCAGATGATCTATGATGACCCCTAAAAAAGCAGCTGAAAGTGGAAGAATAAGAGAGTGGCTGTAGGGTCAGGTAAAATGTAATAAAAATGTCAGGTCTGCGGGGGGTAAAGAGAGGGAATGTGACTATAATATGCACCATGGAGCCAATGTGACACACAAAATAATATTGGCATCAACTCCCCAAATAAAAGTCAGAGAAGCTGACACTGTGGACTTTCAGGAGTCAGACTTGTTTTCATCCCCAAAAACGCTTCAGGCTCTGCAGCAGGTCTGATCAAAGCAAGTTTTTGGTAGTCTGTTTTGCTTGACTGTAAAAGTCATCACATATTTTAATATTCTACAGTGTCATTCATTATAGAGGAGGAAGCCAAAATTCAGCCTGGAATAAAAGGCTCCCACTACCATTAAGAGAGGCCAGGCTTTAAAAAGACAAATACCTCTTTACAGTCTCTCTTTCTCTCCACACACACACACACACACACACACACACACACACACACACACACACACACACACACACACACACACACACACACGTTGGGGGGTCATTGTCCTGATGAAAAATAAATGATGGTCCAAGTATATGAGATGGGATGGCATGTCGCTGCAGCATGATGTGGTAGCCATGCTGGTTCACTGTGCCTTCAATTTTGAATAAATCCCCAACAGTGTCGCCAGCAAAGCACCCCCACACCCTTACACCTCCTCCTCCACGCTTCACTGTGGGAACCATGCATGTAGAGACCATCCGTTCACCTTTTCTGCGTCACACAAAGATACGCCAGGAGGAACCAAAGATCTCAAATCTGGGTTCATCAGACCAAAGCTCAGATTTCCACTGGTTTAATATCCATTCTTTGTGTTTCTTGGCCCAAACAAATCTCTTCTGCTTGTTGCTTTTCCTTAGTAGTGGTTTCTTAGTAGCTATTTGACCATAAAGGCCAAATAGATGTGTCTGCTACTGGAACTCTGTGTGACATTTATCTGGGCTCTAATCTGAGGTGCTGTTAACTTGCGATTTCTGAGGTTGGTGATGAATTAATCCTTAGCAGCAGAGGTGACTCCTTAGCCTCTTTTCCATTAGTACCGACTCAGGTCGACTTGGCACCATTCACCACAGTTTTTAGGGTTT